GATTGTACACAGCAGGAGTGTTCTTCAGCAAATTCGACTAACTTATTCATAGTTGAATAATTTCACTTAAATAACCTGTTCCCTGGATTACTTACAGACATTTTTACCAAGTTTCACTTCTTGATTTTTTTTAGCAACTACAGAGTTAACTTTTTACTTTTTTTAAAAAAAAATTACTTGCTTGTTTTTTAAAACGACATTTAATCAACTTATATTTTACCATTTTAATTATTGTCTTGGGGATTTAAGTTTTTAACCTGTTTTCCAATCTTTCTATTTGTTGCCTGCCCGCTTGGGTCCGATTCTGCTTTTCTCGCTGAACCATCCCTTCCATGGGCACCGGCTTGTTCCACTACCAATTTAGCTAGGAGGGTGGGTTTCTTAACTAGCCCCCACCCTTCCTGGTCTCTTCCCTTAAACATTTTTACTCACAAGGCTATCCAAGTTCTTCTTTGTGAAGCTTGCTATCTGAGCAAAACGCATGGCCCATTGGCATTTAACTATTTAATTTTTTTTGCAGAAAAGGACCTAGGGGTTACAGTGTATGAGAAGCTGATATGAGTCAACAGTGTGCCCTTGTTGCCAAGAAGGCTAATGGCATTTTGGGCTGTATAAGTAGGGGCATTGCCAGCAGATAGAGGGATGTGATTGTTCCCCTCTATTCGACATTGGTGAGGCCTCATCTGGAGTACTGTGTCCAGTTTTGGGACCCACAATACAAGAAGGATGTGGAAAAATTGGAAAGAATCCAGCGGAGGGAAACAAAAATGATTAGGGGGTTGGAGCACATGACTTACGAGGAGAGGCTGAGGGAACTGGGATTGTTTAGTCTGCAGAAGAGAAGAATGAGGGGGGATTTGATAGCTGCTTTCAACTACCTGAAAGGGGGTTCCAAAGAGGATGGATCTAGACTGTTCTCAGTGGTACCTGATGACAGAACAAGGTGTAATGGTCTCAAGTTGCAGTTGGGGAGGTTAAGGTTGGATATTAGGAAAAACTTTTTCACTAGGAGGGTGGTGAAGCACTGGAATGGGTTACCTAGGGAGGTGGTGGAATCTCCTTTCTTAGAGGTTTTTAAGGTCAGGCTTGACAAAGCCCTGGCTGGGATGATTTACTTGGGAATTGGTCCTGCTTTGAGCTGGGGGTTGGACTAGATGACCTCCTGAGGTCCCCTCCAACCCTGATAATCTATGATTCTATGATTCTATGAAAGCAAACATAAAATAACAAGGGCAAAATAAATAGATGGTGTGCATTATGACTGAATTTTAAAGCTTTATTAATAAAATAATAAACCAATAACAGAGAGTGTTGGAAATGCTCCCACATCACTCAGGAAAAAAAAAACATTAATGCCCCAAGCTTTAAGCCACTTTTATACTTACATACATACGTCCAGACTGGCCACGTCTGTGTATAACGTCCAGAGAAGGCGCTGTGCAATTTTCAACTTGCTTCCGCTCTTGAGAGGGCTGTTTTTTTACTCCCTGGGGTTTTTTGTGGTGTTTTTTTAGAGATTCCAGTCCAAGCCGGCTGCCTGTGGCTTCTTCAGCGTTTCCTAACCACGCCGGCTCCAGGGTCGCAAAGGCAGACTGTTGGATTTCACTGGACAGTTAAGCTTTGCAAATGTAATCTCAGCACTGTAACTTGTATTGCGTTTGGTTTGCCTTTGTTTATTTTTTTTTTACAGCCAGCTGGGGCCGAAAGCAGTTTTTCTTTATACTTAGGATGGTCTGCGTTGAGTTTTAACCTTGAACGCAGAGCAACTTTTTTTTTATTTTTGGGCCAAGCTGAATTTTAATTTAACCCTTCTGGTCCTAGAACCTGCAGGTATTTAAACAATTAATGTACGTACATAAAATAAGCTGGGATACCCTTAGGGGGTAAGAGAAAATGCTTAGACTGTCCCCCACCCATTTTCCAATCACACACACACACAGGGAGAATGCCCTGTTCGTGCTAGCGGCACAAAAACTAAGGATCTCTCCCTACAGGGTACTCACACAAAAAAGGCTAACAAAAATAGCCACGACGCTCCTACACCTCTTTTCAGCAAAGAGCGTCAGCTAGTCTCAGAGAGGCGGCGCTGCTCACTCTCTTTGCATTCAGCAAGATAATTAAACTGTCAATAGCTCACACACAAAAAAAGGGGGGGAAAATGGGTACACACACTCCTAGACCCAGGCAGCTTCCTCGCCGGACAATGCCAGGCCTAGTCAGCCACCGTGGGTCGGATCTTTTAAAAATTCTCTAGTTACCGGGCTTGCGTTAGAGTAGTTCTGGTCACGAGCCAAACGACTTCACAGAATACTCTGGGCGACTTCCGGTAACTTTCATTCACACACACACACACACACACACACACACACACACACGGCCTCTATTTCTAAAAT